GACAACGTTACGATTAACATATTTCAACGCGGATCCGTTGATGGTAAAAAACGCGATAGTTTGCAATTTGCAAAAAAACTATTCAACCAATCGGAAATCTGCAAGCTTCATTTTATTCGTCTTGTTATTGTGCATTTTTCATACATTTACACTTTCTTTGTACGATTTGAAGTTTTCTTGTAAAACGCGATAAACCGTTTTTGGCAGTTTTTGTCATTTTTTAACAATCTTCCCATGAACGTACGAATATGTTAATTTAACGGATAAAAAAAGAAAATGGAGGTTATCAATTTCACGATTTTAGACCAATTATCCGACTATTCTGCGTGACACACAGACACCCCTTGATAAACCCCTTGTACGTCGTTGGGTCCTATCAGCTAGTTGGGCTTCCCCGAAATATACAACTGACTTAAACCATTTACTTTTCACACTCAAATGATAATTAATTGATAATCTGCTTGCCGTAACCGGAGATTACTACTACGTTCAATGCAAATCTTGTTTGTATGAATGGGTATTTTGGCATTAATCCAAGCATTTTTGCATTGTTTCTATGTATTATAATGCCTTTATAAAGATTCACTAGCTGTGCATCTTATCTCTACACATATTACAATAAAAATCATAGTGGTTTGTGGTAAATAATAATATTTAATTACCATATAAAATTTATATTATTATGTCTTTGCCATATTACTTTATTAAAACGAGGGAATAAATAAATCCCGAATCCGTCTTCAATTCGGAGATGCTCATAAAAGAATCACTAAATAGATTTAAGGAAAATGAAATTGCTTAAGCTGTTGAATTATTGTATTTACTTTGATCAAATCTAAATTCAGCATATACGAGTACCACGCGTCTTTAAACGCGTCGTTTTTTTTATAAAAATTAATTAGTATTTGTCGCTTGTAAATTTATTTTTCCTATTTTGTTTGCTTTTTTCTAAACACATACATTTATAACAACTAATAACAGCAGGTCACCGAAAGTTGTTATAATTTACCTTCTAAAAATGTTTACTCAACATTTCCTCTATGCTACTCGAATAGTTTTAAATCGATGAACTAAAACTTCCTTCTTTTGATCAGTATCAAAATAAAACATTACCTAGTTGTTTTTTTTTAGCTAATAGTATGGTTTTCTAATAGAATGTATCATTGTACGCCATGCAGTACCGAATATACCGCACGTGCGGTCGTCGTCGCCGGTCAACGTCAAAAGTCCGTTTGAAAAAGAAACGTTTCTTAATTAATTGAGAAACTTAATCTTTAATAAATTAAAACCTCAGGCAAAAATTCACACGACTGACTGTATTTGCAACTTATTTTAGATAGCTACATGACCTCATGTGACCTTTCCAGATTTAAGGTCCCGAACCTTCTGTAAAGGCATGCAAGGCACATATTATTATGTATAGTGCATCCATAAAAATTATTTTATTATAGGCATATAATATATATTGCTAATTTCTAGGACTCTATGGAATTTATTGCTATAAATATAAATTCGTCAACATCCCTAGTGTTGCAAGATTTAATAAGCAACGGTATCTCAATTTGCTATTCGCAGTTTTTTTTTTAAGTAGGCAGCTTAAATAAGTATCACCTATTTTCTCGTTTAATAGTATAAGTTATCAATAACTAAGAAAGAACAAGACGGTAATATATCTCTGCCCACGGCTTTTAGGTCATAGCATACACCTGCGCTCGCGAACGATCTATCAAAACTAAATGCAACGCAACCGTTTTATTAGACAAGTTTATAGCTTAAAAGGGTTGAATAGAATTCCTCCGTGTCTATAACTCCATGTGTAAAGTAACTTGAACTAGAAACTGTTATTGCTACCTACAATTAACGTTCAACATTACATTCTAACTTTTTAAGGTTCTGTAAATATAGAGTTTGTTCTCATTTTGACTGGCCATTTTATTGTACTATTACTAAATTAAAGGCTATAAATAATTTTATTTTAAGTGATACCTTACCAAAGATGCATATGGCATCAATAAGTTATGTTTTTCATCGTTGGTTTTCACAATAATATTGCAAAAGTCAGAGTAAAATAGTAAGCCTTATAAGCGATGTCAAATGAAATTATAGACAAGGACCAAACATTAAAGATTACGGTAAAAGATGCGTTCTAAGTTTGTTTGAAAAAAGAATTCCAGTTGGCGGGTAATAAAGAATAATAAACAGTATATAGTTGATAAAGGAGACCGGCTCAGTGCCAAGCTCAGATAAAATCATTTTGGTTTTACTCTCATTTTTTTAGGTCTCAGGTAGAGATAGAGAGCCGGGGCTCGAAACATTTTGGACCAACGTGTTAAATGTAACTCTCTATTTGAGATAGTTAAAAAGTAGTTTTTTATGGTATAAGTGGCAAACAAGCAAGACAGATATAATATAATAATAATATTTATAATATTTTCGGACATCTGACACACAACGGCATCTAGTTTCAGACTAAGCTGAGCTTGTACTATGAAAGCTAGATTAACTGATAGAATATTTATGTTTTTTTTGTAAAAACACACATATTAAACATAGAAATCAGGACCTAGAGGATAGAAACCTAGAATGGAAAGAGTTACGTTACTTTTCCGTGTGGAGACGGATTAAGAATACGGAGTGTCTTCACCCCTACTCATCCCGTGGGTGTCGTAAGAGCTGACTAAGGGAGAAAATTACGCAGAACAGCAGCACCCCGAACCCATCTGGCTAGCGTGGTATAGCAGGTCAAAACATACTTTCTAAGTAGAGGCCTATGTCCAGCAGTGGACTATGAAAATCTGTTGATGACATTACTTTTCACTGAGTGAAAAGGAATGAAAGAGTTTTTAAATACCTGTTTTCTGTGTGTGATAATTAAAGAAGGCGAAAACAAAATGGCGAGTACTACAGCAGGTACTCGATAGTATCATCCACTAGCTCTGATAATACAGTGTAAGATTCTATAAAAACGACAAGTATCGGAATTAAGAACCATAATCTTAATGTGCCCCACTTGATAATAGATGGCGCTGTCCTTCAAACACAACACAAGAACTACTCAATCCCGTGGCACAACAATATTCTTCAAGGTTCGCAAAGCTGTATCAGATGTTAGTCCGAGTTATGATGAAATTAACTTTAAATATTTTTCTAAGAACTTCCTAATGAAAATGTGTACCATGTCAACTCATATGTATATAAAGCTATCGTTTATATAACAGTAAGTAAGATGCAACAATACACAAATTTAGTATTAATTTAAATTATCTAGAGATCTTAGTGAACAATACGTAGCATCACTTCCCACAGGTTTCGTGAGACGTGGTTTGAGCTTTGTCAGAATTAAAATGTAACATTCACATGATTAAATTTAATGATCAATTAAGATGTTTCAAAGGCTTCTTAAAATAGTCACACAATACGCAACAAAATACGATACAGTTTATGGTTACTGAAATATTTCTAGCAGACCTTTTAATATGTAACCTTCCACATCGATTAATTTAAATTTCGAACTCACATGTTTATCCTAGTCTTAGGACTTATGAACTCTACGTAAAGCTTTGATAGACTTTAGATGATACAAATTCGAAATTTGACTTTGTAAAAAGAAAATCAGTATAATCAGGCTTTTTGGACTTAGAGTAAATGAGTAATAAGTAGAAAAAGTTTAAACAAGTAAATTTTCAACTTACATTGGTTTATAAAATCCTTTTAGAGTGAGAGAGAAAGAAACCTTTTATTACCAAACTAGAAATTCCCATTTGTGGAAGGACTTTGTATCAAGTTGATACTTCTTCGTACGAAAATTCTATTTGTTTATAGACTGCAGAGTTTGTCAGCAAAATTAGTACATTTAAAAAAAAATGCAAACAACTAGCTTGAGCCTCAACTAAGTACAGGTTTCCAATCTGCATAGCACTTCCTTCACACATTCCTCTATTTCAAACTTCCATCAGTACTGACAAATACAATATTATATACCTGTTTAATATTTTCTAAATTTAAAATTTTCTTTTTCTTTCGTACTGGTTGCCAAACTGGATGTAATAAAAAAAATTAAGTGTACTGCATGCAATAACATTAGTATTCTTTAATCAAATAATTTAAAATAAAGATGTACAAGGTTATACTGCTTCGATCAAATAAGGCCTATCTGTGTTAATTCCTTTGCAATTAAGACGTAAATCGTGTGAGGCAAAAAAACATGAGCTCTCTAATGTTTTACGAATGGCCCTGGCTTTGTTATTCCATCCTGATTGAGCATGTCCCAGTTATACCTACTCTTGAATTGGGCTGTCACCAGATTTGACCCAAATCACACCTTGACACAAATTTAAACACGTGACAACATTTGAAATATTTATTTCAAAACATATATTTACAACTTAAAATATTAAACCAAAACTTTGTCATAAATAGTCAAAGAAATGCTTTGGTGGAAATATTTGGAAGAACACAGAAAATTGTGAATTTAAAAGACAATTTATAAGTACAAATCAGCCAATTGCAATTTTGTGTCCATATTTACAGTTTAATTGCTATCGCGTGTTCTATGCGTTCGGTTTGTTTGAGACACTACTAGTAATAATAACAACTAATCGACGAATTATCACAAGGTTATCACCAGATACAAACTTCATATCACTACACTAATATGAAATGTATACAGTAACTTATCACTTTTATAGACAGGTCGATCGACAGTACATCAACACATTTGACACTTGCACTCTGTTATCACGAAACAGAATTCCATTATCGAGAAATATGTCACTGAAAACGACAGTGTTTCTGTATTCTCCCTATACATCTCAATATATACACAAAAACACAAACTATTCCAGTTCGAATTTATGTCGAAAAACGTTTTATATGATGTGATGGTATTGGCAACGAAATAGAGATCAACATAAATCAATCATAGTTTAAGATCAACCCATCCTCATGATGTTACGACGTCGGAGTAATCGCTCCATTGCGTAGAACACGCGATCTGACCCTCAGTAGGGACACACTATCCCATTTCTTCCCGGGAAGTCAGCTGATGCCGGGAAATGGACCCTGCAGATGTCCTTGAAGGTCTTTTCTTGTCGCGGGGGCTGTTTCTCATGCCTAGGCTTATAAGCGTAGCCACCATAACCTGCGTTGCCGTATCCATAACCGCTGTCATAGCCATTGCCGTAAGGGTTTCCTCCGTATCCATAGTTTCCGTATCCGTTATAACCATACGATCTTCTAGCGTTGCCATTGATAGCATCGTATATTGCATCGAAGAAAGGTGCACACTCTACAGTGGCGAAAAGCACAGCGGCGACGAGAACAAAACGTAACACAGACATCGCGGAAGGGTTGTGAGTAATTGTGTCAATTTAGTTGGCGGTCAGAGTTAGCCGGCCTCGGTCTGCGGAAGCTCACTCCTGTGGCGTTTAATCGCGAATGGTGCCGGGTGCTCCGACGCCGGTTTATATATTGGCCTCGCATCATCCGACGGCGCCGGCGAGCATACACGGGTGCGCCCGCGCAGGGTTCACGGTCTATTCCCTGGAATCGCATTGAACCACTGATTGCTGCGGAATATCCGAAGGGTACTTTTTGTAACCGTTTCGTAAACAGGAAGTATTTGACTGAGACACTTTGATCGTTGAGAAACTAGGTTTTGTACAACCAATACGAAAACTAGGGGTAATAAACCGATGAAGCTGTTTTATAATAATTTCCTTGTAGATAAACCACATAATAATATAAATTTAACGTTCGAAACATTATACCTACATTTACTTGTGTTTATTAATATTTTTATTTTATATATTTTTATGCTATTATAAATAGATTTAAATAGACAAATTAAATAAATACTGTCATAATTAATTAATGTAAATATAATACATAACTATTAAAACCTTAAATATTAACACTCAATAACTAAAACTCTCCTACACAAACATACTGTCTGTTCAACAATAAAAATGTTAGCTTCTTTATGCAACTTTCATCTAACGCTCAGATAACTAGATAAAACTCCAAAGGACATGTGCATGATTAGATCACTTCCTTACATAATATCTTCGCGCAATGTTAAGGTAGCCGAGTCAAGTTCAACGAGTGCCGCGATCGTAGAGCGTTCACCTCTAATCGCAATTTACGATTCAGCACGACATCGCATTCAACTTACTAGTACTCTCAAATCTGTTAACGCCTGTACGCAATTATGAAAAAAAAATTTAATCAAGATCCTAAGTCTTCTAATATTAGAATGTGTGACTAGCACCCAGAAAAATGATGTTTAACATTTTAACTACAACAGTTAAAATGTTTTAACTACACACATTTAATTTTAGTTTTGGAATTTAATGATGCCATAGATTGAAATGAGTAAGCTTGTAGGTCATATAAAAAGTTAATTAAAATGTAAACGTAATTTTAATTTATGAAAATTGCTCGTTAAAAAAATGGCTCGGTTTCGCTTCAGTAAATCAGCCATCATCGTATAACGTTAATGTCCACTTACATTTGCCATCACGTACAATCTAACTAAATTACGAACCATTCACAAGCCCAAATAGTCTGTTATGAACTTCAAGACTGAAAGAACTTTACGTGTCTTTGTTTTATCCTCTGTTCTTATTAAAAAAGCTTTTTAAAATAGAATTCAAGAATGCAGGTTGCAGGCGTTCATGGGCGGCGGTAGTCACTTTCTATCAGGTGACCCGTCCGCTCGTTTGGCCCCTCCTCCATAAAAAAAAACACAGATCAGGCGACTACGATTAGAGTAGACTGGTGTTTATGTTATACTAGTTTATGCTATTCACAAACAATAAAACTAAGTAAGTATTACTGTTTCTACTTTACGCAATTTCCAAATTTATTATTTTGAACAAATCTTCCACATTTTTAATCTAAAGCCATTATTACATATTTTCTAAAGCCTTTAGTTTTAGAACTAATTGAATTGCTATTTTTTTTTTAAAGGGTCTGCATACAAAGTTCATTTTGTGAATAAAATACTTTCAACAAATTATTTTTCACCAACAGATTTACTAAATTTTGTTCATAATCCTAATAGTCTCAGTTAGTTAGTTTGGAGTGTTAAGGATTAGCAGGAGGCCCGTCTATTGTTTTAGGGATTCTATAATTTATGAATTCTAAGTCTCACCGTAATTGCTAGAAAAAATTGGATAAAAAGATAGTATTTTAATGTCATTTACATAATGTGTCATATTAAAATACCTCATACATTTAAAAAAATCAGGACTCATTCGAATCTGTCCAACAAGTCTCGTGAATGTTCAGTTCTCAATTAAACAGGAAATATCGACTGTCACGTGCAGGTTGCGGTGGGTTTCGACATAGAACATAGCAACTAATAAACATGACATGAACCAAAGGACCAATCAACTCAATGGAAGCAATAAAAAACACGACCTGAGATTTCTACACGACTAGCCATTTACCCACCACTCACTGCTATGATTCTAAGGATAGTAACACGTCGATAAAAAGCCTGCGTAACCTTCAAGAATTGGGAAAAGTTTCTGATACTCGTAGCACTTTCTGTCAAATGAATTGGACGAATGGCATTGTGGTTTAAGCGGTCACCTCACCGCTTCCTACTGTACTAAGTGTTGTGGGTTGGATCACCAAATGGGTCAATACTCTGTGTGATCCACAAATTTTTACTCTGTGTTGTTTGTGTTTTCATGTATATTTGTAAAGTTCCGGGGCACATTATATATTACTGGTGGAGAATTAGTCGTTTTTACAAGAACAAAATGATGATTTAGTAAACTAAAACAATTATTTTGTGCCAAATCGAAATCAATATGTATTTAAAAAACATAGTTCCATATATGCACCTCCTGACTTCTTTACCATACTGGCGGGTACTGAATCATATGTTTAGATTTGTCGAGTGCATCATCATCAACAGCCTTTAAAAGTCCACTGCCGGACATTGGCCTCTTCTGAAAAAGGAGGTTTTGGCCTACTACACCAAGCTGGCTAGACGGGTAGGTATAGGGTTTGTTTTAAGATTTTTCTCTTTGTCGTGCTGTTGTCTTGCAGAGTTTGCTCCCTTAATTGGCTCCTACAACACCTACGCGTAAATACTGGTGGTGGCACTCCGTATTCTTAATCCGTCACCACACGGACAGTATAGTATGTTAATAAAGAATATATTTTTTAATCATCATCATCATCATCAACAGCCTATAACAGTCCACTGCTGGACATAGGCCTCTCCTTAGAAAGGAGGTTTTGGCCTACTATACCACGCTGGCCAGACGGGTTGGTATAGGGTTTGTTTCAAGTTTCCCTTCTTTTTGCAGTGCTGTTGTCCTGCGTAGTTTGCTGCGGGATGAATAGGGGTGGTGACATTCCGTATTCTTAATCCGTCACCACACGGACACTATTTTTTAATAATGAGACCCATACTTGAATGAGTCATACATTTAATTATTTTGAGCCGTGTCGAATAAAGGTTATCGATACCACACTCCTTTTATCTTCGCAATTTAAACGTGTTTACAAAAATATCTGGCTAACTAATGAAAATAGAACTAGTGCTAATTTTATTAAAATAAGTCAAGACCCTATTCATACTTTAGACACTTACTGTATCTAAGCTTTTTATAAACAAGATCCGATGTCTCGCAGTAAGCCTCAGCTCAAGTTAGTAAAGCGACACCTAAAGTAAAAAAGTACCAGTAAAGCTTACTTTGTAGAAGCTTCTAGAATTGTTTCAAGCTATTTAGTATCTCTATTATTTACTCTTTTGGAGAAAAGCAACTGATACTCTATTTTTTTATTTAATTTAGAAACATGACAGGAAAAGGTAAAATAATTCCACTTGTCAACAATTATTTTATATTTATTTATTTATTTAAAAACCTTTTGTACAAAACGTACAGTGGCGGACTTAATGAGATAGGCATTCTCTACCAGTCTACCGTAGGTGGTGTAGAAATGAATGAAAAGGTTCACTACACTTTGGTTGAGACTAAACTAAATATTAACAAAATACTATCTCACACAGAAAGAGAAGAGAATAAATAAGTAAAATAATAAAATATAACAAGGTATACATACAAGAATACATACATATATATATATATATACACATACTTATACACTATAATACTGCCTACACTACTCCACTCATTCACTTCGTATTGAAAGGCTACAGAAGCGCTTCCTTTGGCATCTGGCATTCTCTGTCGGTATGGCTAAGGAATTTTGTTCATATACGGCAAGGCTAAATCATTTTAAAATGCTTAGTTTAGACGTTGTGGACATGGGCTTCTTGTTCAAGTTATTTCGAAACAATCTTGACTGTCCACAATTGTGTTCACACTTTAATTTTCGAATTTCAGCCAGAATTTCAAAACCAATTACTCCTCTTTACCCCCAAGTAGAACAGTATTAGGTTCCAATTCACCTGTCAATCAAGATTATGTCGAATACTAAATATATATAGCAATATAGTAGATATTCACCATGACTCTGCAGGTCCATTTCGCAACACACTGTATAAATTCTTTATTGATCAGTGTCAGTTATAAGACAAACACACACACAATACACTGTACTTACACACACTAAACATTTCAACAAACACACCCGTACATCCACTCTACACCATACAATTATACGAAGCCGCAAACCCCTGTTTAGTGGCTTAACCTCCGATCCCAAGATATGTGTCATAGGGCTGACAGAGGCCACACTCAAACGCAGACGCATACTCACAATCACATCATCTTACGCGTACATCTCACAAGGCATAATGTTTACTTTAAAATGATAATTTTAAGTTTCAATTTTAAATGCCTTTTTTAGTTTACATTTGCTAATCTATACGTATCTTAATGCATGCTGAGTTCACCTGTAAGTAGTTATACATAACTTAAATTGTAAACTATGCAATGACTGTTGGTGATCCTCATTTAAAAAATAAAAAAAAAATAGGTAAATTATTATATTTGTGATTATTCTGTTACATTTTGGGTGAGGAGAGCTCTTCTTACCCAAACGGATAATAACTGGGCGCCATTCTGATTTCCTGGGAAAGAATAAAGTGAAGAAGTATGGGAGGAAGATAGACTTTACAGAAGACGATTGTTTGTAGAGCGAAGACTTCTGTTATGATTCGAAAACAGGAACTGGAAGGAAGATGTTAAGTATGTCGGGGAGTAAGGAGAGTTGAGGACGCAGACGAATCGGGAGCCAATTTAATTTAAGACGAAACGAGGAAACATGTTCATAGTTCTGAAGATTAAAAATAAATCGAATGTAGTTGTTCAGAAGTCAGACGTATTTGTTGAGGAGATCTGAATTCAGGCCG